AAAATTCTCTCTCTCTTAAAAAAATGCTCAATATAACCTATTTAGTGTGGGTTAGTATTATTTCATGAAACTTTAACGTAGATGTGGGTATTATAGCAAGATGTGATGTAAAATATATTTTATACTGTGGGCCAGGGACTAATATTTTAAAACCACTCATTGTCCTTTCACCTCCCACTGGATAAGGGAAGGGGATGAAGAAGTAGCCCAGAGGGACCCGCCAGTGCTCTTGTCAGTGGAACTGTCCCCAGGGATTGTTGGGTGTGAGGACCACGTCTCCTTCTGTAACACTCCCAAGCTGCAGAAGTCACCAGGCTCATCCTAGGTTCTTCCGAAGCCCAGGGGACTGGGCATGACAGCTGGCTGCGTGACTTCAGGAGGGTGCTAGGGTCCACGGGGGGGGGCAGCTTCCCACCATCTCTTGTCTTTCAGAAACAGCATCGCCGCTTCTGCTGTCTGCGCCTTCAACCTCAGTGCCATCTCCCAGGCTTTCAATGGCCCATTTCGTTACCAAGAGAATCCCAGGGCTGCCTGGCTCCCCATTGCCAACCCCATCCCCAATTTCCAGGTACAACTTCTCCCTCCTTCCCCCACCAGACTACCAGCTAATACCCAGCTGCTTACCCCAGACAAGCACCAGCCCTGTCTCTGCTGATCTATACCCATCATTGGGGTCCGTGATGGTTCCCTAACAGGAAGGTAACCTCTCAGACTGAGCGCGAAGGGGAGAGCGGGTGAGAGGTAGAGCGAGGGGACCTGCTCTGAACCACTTCTCACCCTGCCCCCAAGAGGCAGGGTGTGGGACCTCAGCTCTACAAAGTGTCAGGGGCTAGGAGAGCACTACACAAGCAAGCTGTGGCCAGAATTTGGAGCTAGGGTTTGTTCATAGAGTGTCTAGCATGGGTATGGAGGCCTACAGGGTCTCTGAGTGCTGGAGTGGGTAAGGGCCAGTCATGGATAGTTGATCATCCCCCCATCCTGTCATTAAAAGAGGAAACAAGTGGGCAGGTGAGGCTACTACTGATGGTTGACTTTCATGTCCACCCAACTCCCTGCCCCAGGTATGGTGTGGAGCAGGGAAAGACCTCAGGCTTTGCAGTCCAACGCTCCTGACCCAGATCTAGCCTGTCTCTGTGTGACTCTGGGCAGAGCACCCAACCTCCTTGAGTTTCTTTTTCCTTATCTGTAACTAGAAATAATGCCACTATAGAAATGCCTCATAGATATGTTCAAAGGTTGATATGCCTGGAAGGTAGTAGGTGCTTAATAAAAGGTGGTTTCCTTTTAGCTCGAATTAGAAGGCATAAGAACTTTAATGGAGATTTAGAAGAGAGAAAATAAAGCTTGGCCCAATGTGATGGAGAGGCATCTATGAAAGCATAAAATCACAGGACACGTGTCCACACTCAAATGATTTCTTTTGAGACAGTTCAGACTTCTTTGCCTCCCTCCTTTCTCTGGTCCCTCCTTCACCAATTTCCCAGCTTCATTTTCTCTTAGTTCCAAAGAAGAGGCATTCTTCCCAGGAAAGGGGTCAGGGGACCCAGCAGCAATAATAGGTTCAATGGTGTCACCCGGGGCTGGGCAGGGCGGGGACTGGGGTGGGTGGGTGAGTGTTGGAGAATTAGCATCTGCTGGGAACACACCTAGATTACACTGAGGAAGGGTGTGGAGACAGTATCTTGGCAGCCCTGTGGCAGGGCTGGGTACATGTGACCTGGCTGCTTGGTTCCTTGAGACAGTGTGGCACCCTGCCAGAGACGGGCCCCAATGAGAACCTCACAGAGCGCAGCCTACAGGATGCCCAGCGCCTGTTCCTGATGAGTGAGGCCGTGCAGCCAGTGACACCTGAGCCCTGTGTCACTCAAGACAGCGTGCGCTTCTCACACCTGGTGGTGGACCTCGTACAGGCCAAGGACACGCTCTACCATGTGCTCTACATCGGCACAGGTGAGCTGGCCGCGCCCATCCTGGGCTGCAAGTGGGGGAGGTGGTTGCAGGGCTGGGCTACGAGGTTCCCCATTCTTCAAGGTCACCTTCCTCTGGACCCCCAGAGTCAGGCACCATCCTGAAGGCGCTGTCCACTGTGAGCCGTGGCCTCCGTGGCTGTTATCTGGAGGAGCTGCACGTGCTGCCTCCCGGGCGACAAGAGCCCCTGCGCAGCCTGCGAATCCTGCACAGCGCCCGAGCGCTTTTTGTGGGGCTGAGCGACGGAGTCCTGCGGGTCCCTCTGGAGAGGTGCGCCGCCTACCGCAGTCAGGGGTAAGCCAGCAGCGGGAAGGAGGGAGGTGGCCTCCCAGTCACACCTCGGAGATGGCGCTAAGAAGGGAGTCTGGGCCATCTAGGATCACATCTCCGAGGTCTTCAGTGTGTGCCTTTGGACAAGTTACTTAACCTTTCTGTACTTTAGTTTCCACCTTGTAAAGTAACTTGTGGGGGTTAATTGGGATAACTGCATAAAAAACGATCACTGACTGCAGGAAGCAGTTGTTTAGCAAATTGTGGTGGATGTTGTTGCCCCTGTTGGCAACCCCATGGTTAGAGCCCATCAGCCATCTCTAAACCACTTGATTTGTTCTCAGTCCCTGAAGTTCAGAGAGAGACCTTTATCTTTGAAACCACAGTACTTATCGCCCAGATGTGGGTGCAGATGGGAGATAATGCTTTGAGTCAGCTCAAGTCTTCACCCCTCTTCCTTCCCTAGAACAGGAAGAGAGGGCTGGTGTGGTGGGTGGAAGTAAGAAACCACCTGTAGGAGTTCCCCTTGGTTCCCACTGCTTCTGAGATTGGGTCTCCATACCATAACTTCAAGTGGAGTCAAAGATGTGGCAACAGTGCCACCAGTTTTAAGGGGAAAATTGAAGCCAAACGGAAATGCATTCCAGACTCCAACCAAGTGAAGCTGTCCTAGGGTGCATAGCCTCCTTTTTGAGAGCGTCAAGACTTGGCATAGCCTCAGCCACATGGACTTTCTGTGGCCTTTGCAACAGAGAGTCCTCCTAGCTCTGCCATCTGTCCTTGAGATTTGGGAGACAAATAGTATCTATGCTGCCAAGGGTTGTTCTCCAGTTCTGGTGGAGTGTTCTGGAAGCTAGATAGAGGCCTGCAGGGCAGGGGAAGAGGCTGCATGGCCATGAGGAAGCAGCCAAGGAGCAGGAGGGCAGTGGGCACACTCAGGCTCCCCAAGCCCCTCACACATGGCTCTATCAGCCAAACAGCACATATTTACCAAGTCCGACCATGCTCAGGGCACTTTGCAGAACTGCTGGTGTGAGAGGAAACAAGATGAACGGGCCTCCAATACTTGCTTCACTCAAAGCTCTGGATATCTGGGTAGGGAGAGGAACCCCAGCCCTTCTCTGTCACATGGAGAGAGAAGGATGTATTAGGAAGGATTTGTGATGGAGTTAGACACACCTGGAGAGCCATCACAGCTCCATCACCTACTGATTGTATGATCTCGAGTGGGTCACTTAACCTTTTTGAGCCCTGACTCTCTCATCAGGAAAATGGCAGGAAATTTGATGGAGTGCATGATGCAGAGTTGTTTTAAGGATTGAGACTGGTGTTCATGAAGTGCCTAGTTTAGAAAATCATAAGTGGTGGCTAGTACATTTATTCCTATTTTTGACCTCCCTAATCTCATTTAGGAGTACCCCAGCCCCAACCTCCTGGGCTCTCTGAAGTCTTAGAATCTGTGATGTTGAATATGTGATATTGAGTCTGTGACGCTGGCCTTGAGTGAAAAGTCACCTGCTTGACAGCATTCCCCCATCTTTTGTGTTATTAAACTTTTCACATGCATCTTGTTTTCCAAGAGGTTGTAAATCCCACAACACAAACCCAGTGCCCCAGTATGTTTTATGTTCCACCAGGAATCCTCCTCACCCAGTTGAAGGCACAAAATGGCCTTCCGCACAGGACGGATCTTTCTGCTGGCTAATTATTTGGCCTAAAAGGAGGTTGGTGCAGGAGAGATGTGAGAAATAGGACTGAAAAGTGGATTGAGGCCAGCTGAGAACATCAAGGGAGGATTTGGACTTGAATCCTGTGGCTGTGGGCACTGAGGTGGTCATGGAACAGAGGGTGGAGCCCCAGGCTGCCCAGAAAGGTGTTTTACAAGGATGGATCAGACAGGAGTGAGCAGCACTATCATGGGGCAGATGGACGTCCCCAGTGAACTAGTGTGGCTCTAACCCAGACATAAAGTCTGGTGTCGCAGTGGAAAGAGGAAGGGAATTGCTGGGCCATTTCCCCACTCATGCTCTTCTTTGAGGAGATGGGGAGGTTGTGTATGGGGCCTGATGCACTCCTATCCTGGAGAACATGGCAGACAATCAGTTCAGAGTTGGACATTGCTGTCCTATCTGGTTTCCTGAGTTTGGGATAGAAGTCCTTGAAGTATATGATGAAAACCGTGGCATAAAACTCTAAGTTTGGTCCACAGACTATAAAAAGCAATTCATATTACTGCAAGGTTAATAAAATGACCCAAGCAAGGACATGCAGCCACCAGGCTGTGCACTCCAGATGTCTGGGAGCCAACTGCCAATCACAGTTTATCCGAATGTGCGCTATCATGGGGTGCATATCACAGGGTTTTACTGTGTCCTAGGATCGCTATTTCATGCTTGTTTCCTCATTCCTTCCAAGACTAGCAGGAGGATGAGGGGGGTAAGCAGAGGTGCTGGTGGGCCCCCTCCTCTGCCCAGAATCCAGGGGCTTATCTCCAACTGCTTCCTTTCATTGGGGCAAATCTCAGCCCCACGGGGCACAGCCAAGACAAGGGACTGGCCAGAGAGGACCAGGGCTCACATGAGGAGGAGCAGGGGGAATGTGGGAGTCTATAAAGTGGACGTTTTAAGCATCTATGACTCCTTCCTCCTTCTGGCAGGACTTTCTCCCTGCCCTTGGGAGAGGGGATCCTCTACCCAAGTTCATTCATAGGTCCCCTCAGCCTGCTCTGTGAGGGCAGCAGAGGCCCACACTCGGAGGGCATCTTCTCCTGACCAGGCCCCATTCCTCTACAGTCTTAAGTAACGACCACTTGCTCACAGCCTCAGGGTGCCGTTTCTACCTTGGACAGCTCCCCCCGTGCGGCTATTGCTAGAGGAGCTGGAATCTGATTGCTTACAATGTCCACCATCCATCTCTGTCCTGCCTGTGAGCCCATGCAATGAACCTGTTCCCTTTTGCAACGGCTGCTGGAGATGGTGCAGTAAAGAAGGCGTGGTGACACATTACTGGCCTGATGGCTCCTTTTATGAAAAGAACTCTAAATCACCTCCCCTTTCTACAGTCAGAGACACGCTTCAACTCTCTTCTGCTTGGAGCTTTTTCTTAAGAGTGTCCTCTGTTTTGTCAGCTTTAAAGTGGCCTTTGGCCAAAAACAGTGAATGTGGATCTACCTGAGCCAAGGAGGCAGTCATTCTGTTTAGTTTCCACAGGAAAAGACCTCAGGCCCTGGTCCCTGGGGCGTCTCAAAGGCCCACAGGATGCCAGGAGCAGGGGCAGGGGTAGAGCAGGCTGCTGTTCCTGTGGTCTCCCTTTCTTGTCTGAGACTATAGAGAAAGGAAAGACCAAGAGGGTGAGAGGACCTGGGCAGGGGCAGGCTGGGGCAGTGCCTACTCTACTTTTTCTTTCCTTCATTTCCTATTGTCAGGGATTGGAAAAACAAGGCACTTCATTTTGGGCTCTGACAAAAGTGCGCCTGGACCAGCCGTTCAGGCTATTCCATGGCTATTCATTGCAATCACCTGGGGAGTTTAAAAGAGTCTAATGCCTGGGCCTCTTCCAGTCTAAAGGGCCCAGATTCAGGCGGGCTTGTTTTGTTTGCTTAAGCATTTTAAAAGATGCTCAGGAAATTCCAATTTGCAGTCAAGGCTTGGGAACTACTGCTCTAAAAGTGGTGAGACTCTAGAGGAAGAAGTAGCAGGAGACACGCTGGGTTCCTACAGAATCATTTGCTTTTGTCTTATATAAGCCTATTCAAAATTTTTTGCCCTTAGTCATTTTCTCTGCTGGGAGATATTTGTTTTTTGATGAAGAGAATCTTCTTTGTTATTATTACTCATCACAAATCATGGCTAATTCTGTTTTGCCCAGTTAACTTATTTGGTTATAAAGTGTCACATCAGCTGCCTCTCAAGTTTGTCACTGCCTTTGGAGGCTAAGGGAAATAAACTGGCAAAGGCTTGACTGAGTGCTGATCAGTTGAATTTGCTAGCAGTGTTTTTGGTCCAAATGTCAGCCAGGGAGCAGAGACTCAAAGCCACAGGTTGGAGTGAGCTCTCTGGGAGTTTGGAAGGAACTTCTTTCTGGATCCAGGATCTTCTACTCTCTTTACATGCTAATGGACAGCAAATCCTGACTCCATAATCCTCATAGTCTCTTTTTTCTACTCCTTGAAGTCCTACTAGCAGGAATTTAAAATTCTTGCTAAAAAAATGTAAAGGATACATTGCCTTAAATAATTCAGAAGAAAAGGAAGAAAGGAACCCTAGGACATGAGAAGTGGAAGCATCTAGGACACACATTGATGTGGGAACCATTATCTTTCCTGGGCCACTGCTAGAGACTTGCCCTGGGGCCAGGGAAGGGTGAGCTGTCCTTCCTGGCAGCTGAGCACCTTCTTATGATGCTAAAACCCTGAACTCTGCTTTCTGCCACTGAAGAGCTCCAGGTGACCCTGGACTACACCCAGGTATTCCCTGACTCTGCAGTGTTTTGAAGGATGGATCCATATTCACTCAGTGTGTGAAATTAGACGTAATCTGCAGCTGGGAGGCAGGAGTGTGAAGGGAGAAGTGTGGTTGGGAAGCATGGTCTCAATTCCACCATGAATAATATGTGTGGTCACCTCTTTTCCCCTCTTTTTGTACAACAAAAAAGTTGTGTATGGGTCCTGATGCTCAGTTGGGCTTACTATGCTTAGAATTGGCCAGGGAGCTTTTAAAAGCCACCCCTTTGTAGAGATTCCTGTTTGGGATGGCCTCCAGTACCAGTATTTTCAAAAAGCACCTTGGGTAGTTCTCATGTGAGCCAGGGTCAAGAACACTTTAAGGTCTTCTCTTAGTCAGAGCATCTCACAGGGAGGCACCACCTTTTTGGATTTTATTACCCATGTCTATTCCTGCGGCCCTATATGGGGAATATGAAGCACCTGTCCTCAAGGAAAGTAATATAGTCTTTTGGTTAAGTGTGCTGTCTCTGGAGAGTTTGAGTTAGTGGTCATTTCTCTGGGCTTCCTCTATACAACGTGGGGATGGTAATTGGCCTGCATCACTGAGTTGCTGCATTAAATTAATTCATGCTTGTAAAGTGCTTAAAATGATGCCTGACACAGAGTGCACAGGGAATTTACTAGATATCAAGGAAGGAACTGCATGGAAAGAGGTGCTCAGGGGGGGTTGTCCAGGCATATTCTTGAGATGCAACTGAGGCTGGGAAGTCAGTGGACCTAAGTGTCAGCACCTCCGTCTGGCAGGGCATGCCTGGGGGCACGGGACCCATACTGCGGCTGGGATGGGAAGCAGCAACGTTGCAGCACACTGGAGGACAGTTCCAACATGAGCCTCTGGACCCAGAACATCACAGCCTGTCCTGTGAGAACCCCTTTGTGCCCCCCTCCACCTCAGCCCTCGTCCCTCAATCTAGACTTTGACTCCCATCAGTATTCCCCAAGTGCCCTGGGATCTCAAACCTTCCTGCCCCTGCCTCCTGTGACAGGGGTCCTTCCCCTTCTGTGAGTCTGCAGGTGCGGAATGTGACACGGGATGGGGGCTTTGGTCCATGGTCACCATGGCAACCATGTGAGCATTTAGATGGAGACAACTCAGGCTCTTGCCAGTGCCGGGCCCGATCCTGTGACTCCCCCCGGCCCCGCTGTGGGGGCCTCAGCTGCCTGGGTCCAGCCATCCACATCGCCAACTGTTCCAGGTATGAAAGGATAGGGGTTGCATGGTGTTGGCCTTCAACTTGGGTGGAAAGAATGGGAGATAAGGGGCATCCCCATCCAACTGCTTGCACTAAGGGACAAAAACCTCTGCAGGGCAGTGCCAGGAACTGAACAGATGACTAATGTCTGAGGCAGGAAACACGAACTCTGGGGAATTTTCCATTAACAGTGGGAGGGAAGTTTTTACCTTGTGGTGTCTCTTGATGCAAAGAGGAAGGCTGCCCAGGCATGGGAGTCCCTCCCAGACAGGTTAGCCTCAGTGGGTCTTGCTATCCCAAACTTGAGGGACAGGATGAGATGGTGGCAATCCTGGACTATATGGTCTAGAGATGTGACCTTGGCCAGCCACCTAACCACTCTGAGTTTCTCTAAGTGAGGGTTACAGTACCTCACGAAGAGTTGTTGAGAAGGTTAAAGGAGATAATGTATGTAAAGAGCTTGCAACTGCCTGGTATCTGGGGACTCCATAAAATGGTTATAATAATGAACCTATTATTTTGGGAACTCTTAAAATAACTATTTCATATATGTTCACTAATTTAACGGCTCACAGCAACCTTAAGAGGTAGGAATACAGTTGTCCAGCTTACTTGAAAGATAAGGAGCCCAGTGATCACTGGACAATAGTGAGTAGTGTCTGAGGTTGGAGCCAAGCATGTGAGTGCAGAACAGGGGTGAGATTTTGGGTTGGAGTGCAAGGACTGACCAATTAAGAAGGGTGAAAGGACAACTGCATACGGGAAAGGTGACTGGGACCTTCTTACAGAGTGAGTCCTTTGGCCTCCATGGGTAGGATCCAGGTTATAGAAGGTTCTCAATACATGTTTGTGGCATGAATGAAGAAACGGATGAATGGGTATCAGCCTGGTTAAGAGCTGATATTTTCTGTCACCATCTGGTCCCTCCTGATGAAAATACAAATTCCATACCAGATGTGGACCAGATCTAAGTAGCTAGGGCTCAAGAGGTGCATCTGTTTCTGCCCCATGTCACTCTACCAGGAATGGGGCATGGACCCCGTGGTCTTCATGGGCACAGTGCAGCACATCCTGTGGGATCGGCTTCCAGGTCCGCCAGCGAAGTTGCAGCAACCCTGCACCCCGCCACGGGGGCCGCATCTGCGTGGGCAAGGGCCGGGAGGAGCGGTGAGCTAGCGGATGGTCAGGGAGATCAGAAGACCGACTGCCCTGAGGTCCCACACTTTCTGGGCCTGCTACAAAGTGGCCTGGAATTTCTGGGTGACCCCAGGGTACTCTTTTCCTTGCCAATCTCCCAAGTGACACCTTGTCAGGGGTGGCAGTACCCCTCCTTAGGGTGATGACTCCTCCCCCTCTTCCCCAGGTTCTGCAATGAAAACACCCCTTGCCCAGTGCCCATCTTCTGGGCCTCCTGGGGCTCCTGGAGCAAGTGCAGCAACAACTGCGGGGGCGGTGTGCAGTCGCGTCGTCGGGCCTGCGAGAATGGCAACTCCTGCCCAGGCTGTGGTGTGGTGAGGGCCAGGGAGAGGGGTGAGGGGCGTGGGTAGGCCGCGTGGCCTGGAACCCCAGGGCAGGGCAGGCCTGGGGGCTGCAGGGCTCTGAAACCACCCCGATTCCAAAGGAATTCAAGACCTGCAACCCCGAGGGCTGTCCAGAAGTGCGGCGCAACACCCCGTGGACCCCTTGGCTGCCCGTGAACGTGACGCAGGGCGGGGCGCGGCAGGAGCAGCGCTTCCGCTTCACGTGCCGCGCTCCCCTGCCTGACCCCCACGGCCTGCAGCTTGGCAGGAGGAGGACTGAGACGAGGACCTGCCCAGCGGACGGCTCCGGAGCCTGCGACACCGACGGTACAGCCCCGCGCCCTCCGCCCCACCTCCCGGCCCGCGGAGCATCGGGGGCGGGTCGGGGAGGCCGGGAGCGGGAGCCCGGGGAAGGCCCGGGGACTGGAGCGGGTGGCCCGGTTGTCGGCGCCCGCATCGCTGAGGCCCGCGGCCCTCCCCAGCCCTGGTGGAGGATCTCCTGCGCAGCGGGAGCACGTCCCCACACTCGCTGAGCGGGGGCTGGGCTGCCTGGGGCCCCTGGTCGTCCTGCTCCCGGGACTGCGAGCTGGGCTTTCGCGTCCGCAAGAGAACGTGCACCAACCCGGAGCCCCGCAATGGAGGCCTGCCCTGCGTGGGCGACGCCGCTGAGTACCAGGACTGCAACCCGCAGGCTTGCCCAGGTAATCTTGAGGAAGGAGCCTTTGGCGTATCGAAATCCTCCACCAGGGAAACTCCGTGGCCCTGGAGGCTCAGGACTACCCGGGAACCCCATGCCCCGGGTCACTTCTTTTTCCTGCCAATCCTGTGCAAGGGCCACTAGAGTATTTTTTGCTTTGTCCATGAATATAGAGGATACTTCAGTGAAGTGGGGCCTTTTCTTACTGGGCCTCACTTTTTCCTCTCCCCTAATTGGTTAGACAGATAAGGTGGAGCTGGTTTCTCTCCCTCTGTCTCTGCTACTGCCTGCATTTCCCCTGCCACATGTGTACCCTAAGAGTGCCTGTTGAGTGGGGATAGGGTGGGGTAGAGGTGGAGGTGGAAGTCATTGTGGCCCAGGGTGCCTCCGTGCCTCCCTCACACATGCCATCCACTTGCAGTGCGGGGTGCCTGGTCCTGCTGGACCTCGTGGTCCCAATGCTCAGCCTCCTGCGGTGGGGGGCACTATCAGCGCACACGTTCCTGCACCAGCCCTGCTCCCTCTCCAGGTGAGGACATCTGTCTCGGGCTGCACACGGAGGAGGCACTATGTGCCACACAGGCCTGCCCAGGTACTGGGTACATCTGGCCGGGGTTGGGGAGCACCATGGAGCCTCTGATCCTCAGCAGTGGTTCCTGGGGCATTCAACTGCATCCCAAACAACCCACAGAAGGCTGGTCACCATGGTCTGAGTGGGGTATATGCACCGAAGATGGAGCCCAAAGCCGAAGCCGGCACTGTGAGGAGCTTGTTCCAGGGCCCAATGCCTGTGCTGGAAACAGCAGCCAGAGTCGCCCCTGTCCCTACAGCGAAATTCCTGGTAGGTTCTTATGCCAAAACCTTCAGACCAGCCTTTCCTTCCCCAAGCTCCCAAGTTCCCAGTCTGACGACTGTGTCCTGGGCTAGGGTATGTCCTGGAGCAAGATGAAATACCCAGAGACTCACCTCTTGCCTGGTGCACACACCTGGGGCTCTGGCACTACATAGCTAGTGAACAGGCCAGCCCTTGTAGAGAAGAGGTCTGTGGAGTGGCAAAGGGAGGCCCATTCCTGCACTTTAGTGCTGACCCAGGGGTCCTCCCAGAGCCACACCCAGCCCAGGAGGGAGCCTGTCTCTCTCCACTTTGCCCTAACACTTTCTCCACTTGTCTTCCTGCAGTAATCCTGCCTGCCTCCAGTGTGGAGGAGGCCGCCAGCTGTGGAGGTAAAAGGAGCCACTCATGACACATACTTCTATTCCTCCTCCCCACTCCAAAGCCTGGATTCTTCCTACCTCCCACTTCAGACAGTCAGGCCCACTACTTCCAGGCTGTGTGCAGGGAGACCTGGGTAGTTCCAGCCATGCTCCTCATCTGGGAGGCCATCATCAGTCTATACCTAAGAAAGTTATCCATCCCCCGATCTTCTGGTTGCCATGTCTGACTCAAGCCACAGATTTTCCTGGGGAAGAGGCTCCCCTGTTTCCTTTGGCTCTGGCCTCAAAATCCTTTCTTTCCTTTGTGTCCCAGAGCCTCTTATTGCTATTTCCACTCTCAGGAGATAGTCAGGAATCTCTCTTCTTCACAGTGGTCCTTTTCTTACCACCTGCCTGTCCTTCTCCAGGGTTCAGTCTTATCCACCTGGTGGCCACCGGCGTTTCCTGCTTCCTGGGCTCTGGGCTCCTGACCTTGGCGGTGTACCTGTCTTGCCAGCACTGCCAGCGTCAGTCTCAGGAGTCCACACTCGTCCATCCTGCCACCCCCAATCACCTGCACTACAAGGGTGGGGGCACCCCCAAGAATGAGAAATACACTCCCATGGAGTTCAAGGTGCGGAGCCTTCTGGTAGTAGCAGAAGCCAGGGTGAAGGGAACAGTGGTCCTATCCTTGAGCTGGGCATGACGGGGTGGACAGTGGGGGGCATGTTGGCATGAGGGAGCACTGCCTCAGCATCTGGAACGTTTCTTCACCAGCTGACTCCTGGACCCCTGGCCCTGGCCTGTTCCCTTCCCTACCTCTCCCCTAACCCCTTTCTCTGATTTCTTCTTCCCACAGACCCTGAACAAAAATAACCTGATCCCTGATGACAGAGCCAACTTCTACCCACTACAGCAGACCAATGTATACACGACCACCTACTACCCCAGCCCGCTGAACAAGCCCAGCTTCCGGCCTGAGGCCTCACCTGGACAGCGGTGCTTCCCCAACAGCTGATCCTACCATCCTGGGACTTGGGCTCCTTGCCTTCCCAAGGCACAGAGAGGTGGAGATGGGACCGTGGAGCCACTTTGGTTTTCTCCCTCTGCACTAGGCCAAGAACTTGTTGCCTGGCCTGTGGGGATCCAATCTGGCTTCAGAGAGCCCTGGCTGGCGGTGACCATGGGGGAGAGGGCTGGCTTCAGGGCCGGCACATGGCTGCAGATCCAGCTTAGCCCAGGTCTCTCATGGCCTCCTTGTGACCACCATCATGATGACCCTCCCCTGCCATGTTTGAGCTACAGACCTACTGGGCACGTGAGGAACTGAGAAGAGTGGAGATGGCAGTGTCAGGAGGGCAGGCTGTTGGGTTGGGGTTGGGTTGGAAATGACTTCCAGTGGCTGTCACAGCCAAGTCTGACCCTCTGTGGCTGGCCGGAAGAAAGGCCTTGTCTACATTCAGATTGTCTCTGAAAAGAACTTATCAAATGGCCCAGTAGCTCTGGATCTCTGCCCAGTGCTGGACCATTGTGGTGCTGCCCCAGTATGACATAGGGGACCAGTGCTGGCCCAGGTGGTCTGCCTTGGCCTAGCTATTTGTATTTCACCCAGGGATATTCCTCTGGTCAGAGGCAGTAAGAACTGGGAACCAGAGGCTGGTCTTTTCTGAGAAGCCCTTTAACCTGACCTAGTACAGGTCTCAGCCTTGCCCAGAAGAAACAAAAGGTGGCCTGGGAGGAAGGAAGGCTCAATACCATAAGAGGCAAAGTCTGGCCTTTGTGTCCCTATAGAGATCATCTTCCAGTTGCTGCTAAGCAGAGTCGTTAGCTGAGACCTGCTTGGGAGTCTATGCTGGCCCCTCATCTCTTCAGGAACACACACACACACACACACACACACAAGCGCATGTGCGCACACACAGTCACCATCTGCTACAGCAACAGAAAGGATGTTGGACTGTGGCATTATTAATTAAAGATGATATCCAGTCTCCAAATGTAACTCTGTCTTTGCGCATATGTGTGTGGGCCCCTCTTGGCATGGTCCTGGCCATTAGAACAATGCTCCGGGGTAACAGATGGCTTCTCAAGGTGGAGGAAATGACCCAAGTAGAGTGTGACTTTAATAGGGGATATCTTTCCATATGTGGGTTTATGTACACATGCACACATATTGTCCTAATCCTTTTTTTGAAAAAGAGGTTGGGAATAAACAAATTCACAAATGGGGACACAGAGCACACCAAAGGCAAGTGACAGGAGAGATTTATGCGTGTTACCTCAGCAGCTTTTCCTGGCAATATCTCCAGGGTGGAGATGGGGGAATCCTGCAGGAAAGTATTGATGAGGGTTATTTTATGAGATAGCTTCAGTGCTGAGCTTAATAAAACCAAATTGGGAAGCGAGTAAACCTGTGAAGTGGGGGAAGCCTAATGTAGTTTCTGTTGGATTAAATAAAAATAACCTTAAAGCTTCAGCCCACCAAATCAATGCTGCCATTTTGGATGAGATTGATGGACATGTTAAATTTAGAGAGCAATTTCCTAACTTAATTGGCTGGATCAATTCTCCTAAGATTCCCAGCAGAATCTAATTGTAGATGGGCTATAAAGCCTATGATCTGAGGGTTGGAGGAAGTGGAGGCTCTTGGGAGTGGAGGCAGAAGCACTTGAAGCTTGAAGGTGCCTGAAGTAGAGGAGGGGGAGGAACAGAGCCTTCCTGGAGGTCTTCCTGCTTACCTGAGACAGAAATGGGCGGCATCCCCAGAGCCCAAGGGGAGCCCAATCAGAGAAACCTCAGGAAATGTGAATATCTGCTGCTTTGGGATTGCTATTTCCTGTTAGCTTCCAGAGCTGATAGGGGGCAGTGGGGACATTTTAGATCCTGGGATCTCCGATTCCTTTGGGCCTGTTGGCAGCCAAAGAAGTTCAAAAGTGTTATAGGATATAGGGTCCAGGTGTCCACCTCTCAGGGCATTCAGGGTATGTTAAGTCTTAAGGACTAGAAAGTTTATGTATAGTCATGAGAATTCCTAGGGAATGCCCACCACCTATTGTTGGAATGGCATCAATGGGAATGTAAACCTTTGGCAATACACACACGCACTCAAACACACACACAAACACTAAATTTTCTGGAAACACAGGCTTTGAAAAGCATGACCATTCAGAATCTATTGAGAGGCTCCACACTGTATGCAGATGAGCTGGCATGGTTGCCAAAGACTTTAGTAACCAGCTCTGTCCCAGAATTAAGGACCCTCAGAGTGCTTCTGGAAAAGGAGGGTGTGGTGGTCTGAGTGTGAAAGGCAAGTGGGCTTCCTCTACCAGAGGCAGATGCAGGATCTAGAGCTCCAGGCCTTCTTGGACAGTTTTGTGTTGAGAGAGAGAGAGAGCGAGCGAGAGCGAGAGCGAGCGAGCATTTTCTTATTATTAAAGCCATACATATTCATTGCAGAAAATTTAGAGAATGGAGGTTATAGAAATCTTACCACGATTATACAAAAATCTAAGGCAGAGACTTAGGAATTTTAAATGATGTTGTGAAGATATTTCTTCCATTTTTTTTCAAAATCCCCCAAAACAGAATAAAACACACAAAAGTTATGTCACTGTTTTCAATAAAGCTAAGATGTAACTATAATCCCGTATCACAGTGCAGTTGTCCTTCAGTATTCTCAGGGAATTAGCTCCAGAACACCCCCACCACACACACATACACACGGCTACCAAAATATGTGGATGCTCCAGTCCCTTATGTAAAATGGAGTAGTATTTGCAAATAAGTTATGCACATCCTTCATATATATTAAATCATCTCTAGATTACTTATAATGCCTAATGCAATGTAAATCTATATAAATTAGTTGTTGTGCTATGTCGATAAGGGAAAAATGACTAGAAAAAAATGTCTGCATTTCAGTACAGCTGTAATTTTTTGAAATATGTCCCATCGGTTGTTGGTTGGCTCTGTGGATGTAGAACTTGTGAACAGAGGGGGCCAACTGTACATAAAGACAGAAAGCAGATGGAGTGACAGCAGTCATCTGTTAAAAGTGGATGTGGGTCAAACCTAAATACCCGAGGGATTTCAGAATGAATCAAAAATTGAAGGGAGTAGGTATGAGGAAGATGGAGATCCACGCATAAGCTAGACCTTCAAGTTTTGTTCTTGTTTCATGATTTATCTAAACATTTGGTTTTGTGGATAAACTAAAGCACAGAAAAACCATATGAAAGTATAGTTAGTGGACATAGGGCCAACACCTTTGTAACAACCCCCTGGATCAAGAAACAACTTTGACAATCGCCCCAGCATCCTTTGCTTCATCCCCTCCCTCTCTCCTCCTCCTCCATTCAACAGTCAGATGGATAATCATCAGCAACAGGAAAAACAAAAAGAACACAAGGAAAGGAAATGTAATCATCGTTAACCACTTGATTAGAGCATGAGCCTCTGTATAAGGATAGCAACGGAAACCTGCATTTAGTCTTAATCATAACTTTGTAATATGTATTTATAATATTTTTATCATGGGAGAGACAACATCAGAAGAATAAGTCTCTGAGATCTTGTTACCAACTAAATGTTGGAGTGACTATTAGGGAAGAAAGGAATAAAAACCTCTTTAAAATAATTTCACCCTGATTATGACCATGGTACATGTTAAATAAAGAATTTTGGAGGACAGAAATGCGTATATGCTCCCAGCCATGACAGGCAGGCTGCAGTCAAGATGGGAACAGGCACCATGCAACATGCACCTCTCTTTGTAAGTAAAAAGAAGAGCAAGAGGGAGAGGAATGGGGAGGAGGAGAAGAAATAATCTTGGAAAACAAAAGCATAAACCTAATAAAAAGAAAATATTAATATCCTGATATCTAACTGAGAAAACTATCATCATTATTCTACTACGTTCTTTTCACAACTTTTTCTACAGTTATATATGAGTTTGAAAATATTTTATAAAATTAATACAGACTGTGTGTATGGCTTTATTTTGATTTTAACCCATAACTTTATATACTTACATTGTTTAAAAATTCCTCTGGAAACCCCAGGAACCCTTTCTGCTGCTGCCCTTTCTCTCTTCTTGAGAGAACTTGAGAGAAAGTTCAATCTTTATATGTTTCATTTATTTACATCACTGATTTACTTTTAAAATGTTGGCATAATGGTTGAAAATCCTAGGCATTATTATATAAATTTCATTACATAAGAGTATTCATTCTCTTACTTAAATTTATTCTCTATTATATAAATGTAGCCTCCTGCTACATAAATTTGTCATAATTTATTTAAACCATTCTCACTTGTTTCAAAAATTCCTTTACCAAAGCATACTATTAGGGACCTTGTTATGGATTGGATGTGAGGTGTCTCCCAAAAGCTCTTGTGTGAGACAATGCAAGAAGGTTCGGAGGAGAAATGATTGGGTTTTTAAGAATCATAACCCAATCTGAATTAATCCCCTGATAGGGATTCGCTGGGTGGTAACTGAAGGCCGGTAGAGTGTGGCTGGAGGAGGTAGGCATGGGGGCGTGGCTTTGGGTATATATTTGTATCTGGAGAGTGAAGTCTCTGCTTTCTGATCACCATGTGAGCTGCCTCCCTCTGACACACTCTCCTGCCATGATGCTCAGCCTCATCTGGAGCCCCGAGGAGTGGAGCGGGCCTTCTATGGACCTCAGTCTCTGAAACTGTGAGCTCCCAGAAAATTTTCCTCTTCTACAGTTGTTCTGGTCTTTTAGTCACAGCAATGGAAAAACTGACTAAAACAGACCTTATACATATATCTTGTCTTTAGGAGGCATTCCCAGAAGTGAAGGCTGCTAGGTTATAAGTACCCATCAGTGGTAACTACCAGGGTTAGTAATAATAAAACGAGAATTCACTACTGGTGGGAGTGTACTTAGTTTAATCCTCTGAAGGAAATTTTGGCCATAGACATAAAAACAGGGGTGGTTCATCTGGAAAACTGGAGGACAATGAATCTATCATCAGCCTCACACAGGGACCTAGGGACATGTCTTCCTTGGAGAGCTGAGTGGATAAACTCCCCCAAGTCTCAGGAATTGCTGGGGGTCTGAACCCAGACACATGACCCATCAGTTGATAGAACTGGGTGTCATTTCTCTGCTGGAAGCTCCCCTTTTGGAATACTGAAATTCAGGGTTAAAAATCAAAACAAAACAGTACAAAAGTATATAGTAGATACAGTTAAAAAGCAAGTCTCTTATTCTTTTCTTTTAAAATTATTTTTAACTGACACATAAAAATTGTGTATATTTATGGGACACCATGTGATGTTTCCATACATGTATACGTTGTGAAATGTTCAAATCATGGTAAACATTTATCTGCTCAAACATTTATCATTTTTTTATGGTGAATACATTCAAAATACTTTCTTCTAACTTCAAGTATATATATGTGTGTGTGTGTGTGTGTGTGTGTAAATTTATAATATATTATAAATATACATAGCATTATCATTATATTTGTTTCCCAGTTCTCATTCCCAGGTCCTAAATTCCCTTCTTTGAGGCAGCTGGAGGTAGATAGGAACATATATGCATACAGGTATATGTACACAGATCTTCCTTAAATTACAATGGGGTTACAACCCTATAAATCCATTGTAAATTGAAATATCGTAAGTCAAAATGAGTTCATATGCCTTACCTAACAAACATCATAGCTCAGCCTTACCCACCTTAAATGCACTTAAAACCCATAGAATTGGCCAAAATCATCTAACACAAGGCCTACTGCATAAGAAGACATTGACTATCTCATATGCTGGCTGAGAACTTCACCTCACTGCCACTGTGTTATACTTTAAAAGAGTATCAAACTATCTATCACCAGCCAGGGAAAAATATCAAAACTGGAAATTTAAAGTATGGTTTCTACTGAATTCATATTGATTTCACACCATTGCAAAGTCAAAAAAAAAAAAAAATCCCAAGTGGAACCTTATTAAGCTGAGGACTCT